TTGAACCCTTTTACAATGGTACTAAAGACAGGGATCGATAGTGCTCTTGTTCGCCCACAACATTAACTGGGAATTATCAATCATGAGGAATTACTTCCCACACCAGCTGCGGGATGTGATTCACCACGACGTGAACAATTACTCCACTTCGCCATCCTGAAGTGGGCAAAAACCGCCATGTAGACATGTTGCAAATACTTTAGGAAATTTCGAACAATCCACACCTAAAAATTGTTAGCGCCGAGAAGAAAACAGGACAGCAAGGCTTCGAGATGTTCAGCACAATGTGCAGCAATAGCGTCAAATTCGAAAATTTTATGAGAAAGGCGTTGTAAAATTGCTGTGACTTTGCTATAAATATCACAGCAGGCACGGTGAACAACTGCGAGTTATCGGGAAATTTTCGAGCGCAAAATTATAAAATAAACTCGAACATACATGATGTTGGTATCGCCTCCAATTGCAAAATGGCATGCGAGGTGACTTCGAATGGATACAACCAGGTGATTATATTATGTGGGCATAAGGGATTAGAAGAGCCTACCTCGACATCACTGGCCTGTGTTCTGAACCTGCGTCGCCGCTTCCAGCAAACGAGGTAGGCCCTTTCGGAGTTTCACTGCTTGGCTGCAACACCGGCTGTGAAGGGCGTGAGTCGGCAGGATCAATGCCAAAGCCGGGCCTGAAAGTCTTCCAAAATTCCATATTCGCACAACTTCCTCCGGTGCTTTAGAACCTATTTTTGGGGTAGGCGCAAGCACAATACAGTTTTGTTTGCATGGGAGTGCCAGCATGGTTTTGGCGCACTGCAAGCCCGTTCTCCACAGGTTGCTGGAGAGAATAAGTGACAGGTGAGAAAATGACTGATACAAGCGATATGATAGTCTTGTCGTTCGCCGAAAGAGGGCGCTGACACGCCAGCGAACAAGGCTAATGTAGTTCGTCCGCATGGTCATGAAACTTTTTCATAAGCAAGCGAACAAGGATGAATCTATTATCTTCCAGATGGTCATGAAATTTCTTGGGCAATTACATTCGCATGAAAACGGTGTCAGAAAATTTTGATCGCTAGCTTCCTTACCACGACCATATCTACCGGTTTCAAATCAGCTCAACCTTTCAGGAGGCACGTTTCTCCAAAAAAAATATCGGTAGCAAGGGAACCGAAATGATTTTCACCTTGCCTCATTTCCACTTGGCGGATTTACTGATCCATCGCCTTGCGCCTGTCGTGAAAGATCGAACGCCTTCTTGATATAGTAGTTGGCGATCTCTTCAGCAGCCTCGGCTTCATATTTTTGGGAAGGTTGCGCAGCCTGAAAAAAAATATAAATGATAACTGTTCACAACTGTTTTGTAAGCCGGCCCAGTTTGTAACAGCGTACGCAAAGTACTAAGACACGCTCATATTAGAGGCAGAATTAGCGAATGGTGTTGGTTTACCTCAACTGAAGCCGTCAGACTATTCTTCCATATATCGTCAATATGTCTACTAGGACACCTGGACTCCTTGTGACGTAAAACAGCAGTTGACTCGCGCAGCTTCCTCGAAATAAGGGTATGGGCAGCGACAGATCTAAAATAGATAATTCTAAAGGCTTTAGGAAGTTATAATAGTAGTCTTAGTAAGTCAGGAAGCAACATGACTCTCGAAAGGCCAAGCAAAAGGACATTGGAGGCCCAGTTCAAGTTTTATCGAATCAGAGTACACACGTAGGTAGCTAAAATGCTGAGCAATTGCTGAACTCAACAATCATGTAAGAGGTGAAAAAAAGAGATAGTAATTGGCTTTTACCCAAAGCCTCCAGTGAACAACCGTCTCTGCAGATGAGATTCAAGAGCAATTCGCGTTAATGTGTTGAACGCGACGCCATGTGTTAACAATGACTGAAAACTTCACCACTTGTCGCTCATCCTCCTTTTCGCGACCACCGGCTTATAAAAAGCGCATATCGCGAATATAAATCGAGTTTCGACAACTCAAGCATAGAAATAAGGAGGCAAAAAGTTACTTGTTGAGAAGCTCATCTGGAAAACTTATGTCGAGCGGAGTACCAGATTAACGGACATTGAGGAGAACCTCTTCGGAAACCGGCCTCACTGTTTGCATCTTCAAAATCGGGCAACGACGTGCCTGGAAATTTAAGGCGGTCTACCAGACCGACTAATGGGGTGAGGCTACGGAAAAGAAGCGAACCGCAAAAGGCACTGTCAAAAAAAGGGGCTGATTTCATTCAGTACTGGAGTGACAGCGTGCAGAAACCTGTATGCGAGTGACTCAACTGCGGATATCACGCAGCTGTTCGGATGACGCAAACACGGTCAACTTTGTTGAGCGCGAAGACGATGATGTCAGACTCCACTTTTTGGAGCTGGAGGCAGTGATGAAAAGCTTGACATGCAAGGAATGCTCTACCATGACCTTCCTCACCATCTGTGCGACGTTACCCGTCATGAGAACTTGATTGAGGTTATGGAGCTTAAAGACACATAGTACGCTCATACACATTGAGGGTGTATGAGACTATCAGCCCCCCAGCTGTCGATGTGTCGTGGTCCCCCCGCCCAAACATGCCCAGGAATGGAGATACAGGGCCGTGAAACACGCTAATTCTTCCATGCTCCGCCCACTGCCTTTTTACGGCGCAGATTCCCGCCCTTCATAACATCCGTCGTAAGCGCGCGTGTCGCGTGCGGCTCCTTGGCACTTTGCCAAGTCCTTTAATTGCGCTCTCAAATACAAGTAAAACGCAATTTCCTGATGCGGATAACATTGGAGGTGCTGCAAAATAAGAACAGAAGATGATGACGAGGGTCAGAACTCAAAAGCAACTGTGCCACTTCTGCAACATCCCTCGGAAGCCACGTACTTCCACGAAACATGGAAATAAAACGGCATACTCCCTTAGTTTTTAATTCTAAGCAAGACGCACAATTCCCTGATGCGAATCGAAATTTTTAGGTTTTCATGGCTTCAAAATCCATGTACAAGGAGATGAAGATGACACAGGCTAGAAATGAAGCACAACGATGTAAATGTAAACAAAACAAAAATGAAAAAAATCAAGGAAGGCAAATTAGATAAACTGGCCTGTAAATTTCTACGATCCGGCGCCAAAGCCATAGAAATACTTAGAACAAACGAGTGGGACGCTTGGGCTGTTTTTATTTTCATGTTTTGTGGGAATGCGCGGCCCTTGATGGATACTGCAGATGCAGCCGAGTTGCTCTTGAGTTCTGCCCCTCTGGTCCATCAACATCATCTGCTGTTCTTATTTTTGTAGCACCTCCAATGTTATCCGCATCAGGAAATTGTATTTGAGAGCGCAATTAAAGGACTTGGCAAAGTGCCAAGGAGCCGCACGCGACAGGCGCGCTTACGACGGATGTTATGAACGGCGGGAATCTGCGCCGTAAAAAGGCAGTGGGCGGAGCATGGAAGAATTAGCGTGTTTCACGGCCCTGTATCTCCATTCCTGGGCATGTTTGGCGGGGGGACCACGACACATCGACATCTGGGGGGCTGATAGTCTCATACACCCTCAATGTGTATGAGCGTACCATGTGTCTTTAAGCCACAGCAATTCAAATTCGTGGTCATTCATACTTGGAACGAAACGAAAGGCACTCCCGCGTTCGAAAATAGTGAGTTAAGTTCTTATCAATCTCAAGAGTGTGTAATTCAGTATTGAACAAAAAAGAGAAGAAACCCACCCAAAATACCTTATATAGACTCACTGCAAGCCGCGCTTGTTTGCCTATAAGGCGATGAGAGGGTGCGGTCGCGCGAGCTCTCAGTTGTCGGTATGAGCTCTTTCCTCTATAACCTCACTGTCACCACTCGGTATGGAGAGAGATAGAAGCGGAACAATAGCACCACCAGGAAGCTTTTATAAAATAAAGTTAGGTGTTGGTTGGGCAGTGGGCGGGGTGTTGCCTTCGTCGTGAGCGTGACGCTTTCCTCAGTTATTTTTGAGACCGGACTAGCTTAACCAACGAAGTCTTCTGCATATCTAATGAACGCGTAGCCTGCTTTGAAGAGCGGCGAAGGAGGACACGTGCCGGCATGCCTGCGTTTGTAGTTGCGTAGAACTGAGACATGTTCCGTGAATACCTGTTAGATACAATTCCTTACTTGCATATAATAGGGACAGTAATCTCAGTGGGTGTCGTACCTTTGCTGCTCCAAAGTGAGTGACGAGAGCGACCGTCACTACCCGAAGGAACATATAGAGTGCACAACTTATATTTGTACTAGATGCGCAAGCAGTTCTACATCTATAAACCCCATGACGCGAGGCCGAGGTGATCTGCTCCGGACCAGCCCTAGTCATCTGGCGAATTTCCCGTTCCATCTTTGTCTGTCACTGACTTCTCGATCGCACAGCAGTGTTGGTCTCCTCGAAAGTTCGTCCAGTGCTTCACATAGAGCTCTTCCAATGGGTTTGCGGTTTCATCCATGTTTTCCTGACTAGGTGAATTGGCATTGAAGAAATCATACGTGGACCTTAGTCCACAAACTGCAATCGCGATATGTGCCTTTAAGGCTACAACCTGGTGACGTCATTTCACTGCATTTACGCAAAAAATTGTAAATCCCTTAAGTAGAGCAGCAGCATTGTGTGCCCTATGGGGAATATGATGGGATCGCATCCACATATTAGGCATTTCGTTCGGAGGGAATGTTGCTTTGTAAGAAATGTACTTTGCTTGGTACGCACGCACGCATATTCTTAATCTACTGAAGTTATGGTCTCAACCGCTTACAAAGCCGCGTTGCATAGGAGGAAAGTCGGTGAAAGTAGAAAGCGATAACCTCATTCTTTCCAAAGGCAATATTGTTTGGAACTGCGTCTTCTTGAAGAGCAAATCTTCATGTCCACTATAGCTCTCATCACCCTCGCACTCTTCGTCCGTTATGCCAAGCCTGAACCTTTATAAACTTAGTCTTTCTGAGGAGAGAATTGGCTGTACAGAGATATCCGGGCACTGGCAGTTCACGCCCTTCAACGCCCTATCTTTTGTAGGGTACGTGATAGGCTTGAGAAGGTAATACAAAATTACTTGTGCAATTCTTGAACAAAAAATAGGTAGTATATTCTATACCATTTTCACTTTAAATCGGACACTTTTCAAATCAAATCGGACACTTTTCAAACCAAATCGGACACTTTTCAAACCAAATCGGACACTTTTCAAATCAAATCGGACACACCCCTTACAATTAGGTGGTTGATAACTAGACCACACTAGGTACTGTTGCAAGCCCCGCCCCATTATCCCCGCCCACTTCTCAGCGCGGACAGGGTTTTCCGAGATGCTTCATGAAATCTGCTCCTTCGACTTTTTTCGTTTTTGCCCTTTGCACACACACTTCAACTGAAAAAGATTGATACCTATACAGATCTGACTCCGCCCACTTAACAATGAAGTTACGTAAGTGCTGAATTTTTATAACTTTTTTCGTAGTTCTTTTCACATCCAATCTTCACAAAACGAATAACCATGCACAGCACACCAGGCCCCGCCCCTCTGACCCCGCCCACTTGTGTTTATCGCGGAATTTTGGTTTTTCTCCCGGATTTTTGCTTTTTTAAGCTTTAGCGTTGGCTCCGCCCACCAATGGAAGCTCCGCCCACTTTGGGGAAGCCCCGCCCACTTTTCGAAAATGATGCAAATCGGCGGGCTAGTGTCCGTACTGGCGG